ACAATAGATGGTGGATTGGAAAAATAAATATGATTGACCCTGTCTGTATAATTGTGGGTTTTAAAATATCAACTCTAAGGTTTTAAATATTTGTAAAGTGATATTTCAACAATTTTCTCTCAGCATGGGGTCATGAAGTGTACCTTAAAATGTTAAGCTATTCTCATACATTAGTGATATCAAACTGTCTGGTTCTGCAGCTCCTGGAAATGATAATCATGTGACTCCTCTGAATAAAGCTAATAGGTTAATTGGGGTTAAGAGTTGGACAAGTAATAAATAGTTACTAAATTTTAATTAGTTTATCATAGCTGCACTCGAACTTTGGGGAACTAAAACTGGATTTTCGCAGGCAAAGGAGGAGCAAAGCCAGAGCAAGTTTTGATAGGATTCTCCTTTGGCTTATATGAGCATGATCAAGTTTTTTTAAAAAATGATCTCCCTCTTTAATATACTGTACTTGTGAGTTCTTCAGGGGATCCCAACTCACAGTTTAAGAATTCCTGCTATTCTTGATAAGCTGAAATGTGATACAATGCCCAAGGTATCTGGATTAGTAGAGCAGTTTGCACAGGGAACAGTGTTTAAACACAATATACAACATTGGGATAAGTGGGGTCATTGGTGCTCTCTGAACTTGATTGTTTTCTTGCAGTTGTTTCATTACCAAACTAGGTAACATCATCAGTGTTTGGTAGTGAAATGTTTGGAAGAAAACATCCAAGCTCAGAGAGGACCCCACAGTTCAATTTGGAGCTACAAATATTCTCTTCCATCAGTACTGTTCTAACTGGCTGAGTTACAAATTTTATCTGGCAGTTCTCCACTGGAGAAAGGAAGATCTTATATGAGCCAGATAAACTGCACTGTCCTACTACTCAGTTAAATCATAGTGGATAAAGAATATAATAGATATATTTTCTTTGTTGCCATGAAGTGGCAGAGGCCCAGTCTTGATTTAGACTTCTGCATGCAGGTGGAGAAGTTTTAAACCTTCCATTAACAGGAATTAAATACACAATTTCCTGTCTAATTGTTCCAGTACTTGCCTTATTGTTTTGCCAGAGTCTTTCAGATGGGAACAATTGTGCAGTTACCCATCTGGAATACATGATTTCCTGTTAATCTTTTTGAAAGAAACTATCATGGAGAGAATGCTTTATGTTTTTATTTAAAAATTAAAATTGCCCGATTAATTAGGGATGCTTTTCTGATTGTTTAAAGTTATTTTAAAAGGTGATTAATCTAATCAACCACATGATTATATGTTGCAATCCCAGTTGCCAGATCTTTACATTTTAGTAAGAATACATTTTAGTAAGAATATGGATGCAGCCAGGTATTGTCCTGCAGGGGGCAATATTGATGAGTGTTGCTCCTTTCCCTTAAAAACACTGTAGGAGAATTAATGGAAGTTAAGATAAGAACTGGGAGAACAATTAACCTTTCTTGACAAACATTTCCAAGGTGAGCAGATATTTAACGTGTTTATTTGAAAAGCCTTTATGGATTTCAAGTACTGGGAACACTGCAGAAGGGAAACCAATTTGGTGTTCATAATTTATTTTAATAGTTTATTTTCAATTACCTATAATTGATAGATGCTAAACAATAACTTCCAAGTCCCTTTAGTAAAGATGTGCCTGGTTGCTAAAAGATGGACTGCACATATAATACATGGCCATTAATCCAGAGATATGGTAATTCAGAACATGTATACATATAAACTTTATATGTTACCACTGAGCATGGTTTATAGGAAACGTAAGAAAAATACGTATCTGCTTCTTCCCAGCTGTCCTGCTTGCTGGTCACTGGTTTAGGAAGCAAGCAATGTGGAACACTGGGAGGAAGGGAAAGATTTAACAGTCATCTTTCCCAGTGATTTGAAGCAAGGTTGCAGGTTATTCTATTTCCCGATTATTGGTTTCTGGGCAGCTGAGCACTTTGACAAGTTGGTTGGTTGGAAGGATACATTGGGCATTCTGCATGTATGTGGGCTGCAGGCTATCCATCCCTGCCTCTACATGTGTTCCTGGAATGCCTGTGTTCCTGGAATACATGTTCTAATTATTGATTTGAGTTTTGAAATTTCTTTAGCATTTTAAAAGATTGTCACAGAGGAGGGAAGGATCATTCACAAATGGAAAAAATATAATGGTGCCATTGAAAAAGGGAAGGGAAGGGAAGGGAAGGGAAGGGAAGGGAAGGAAGGAAGGAAGGAAGGAAGGAAGGAAGGAAGGAAGGAAGGAAGGAAGGAAGGAAGATTAACTGGGTACACATGAACTCTTGGGGGAATGAATTGAGTAGCTCTTTTAATCCCATCCATTGTCTTATATGACAATATACAAGGATTTCAAGAAAAACTAAGGGCCTTATTATATTGTATCAAGATTACAAGAAGAAACTTGCTTGGGTTAAGTTGCACAAATCTGATTAATTGCCTGGCATGTTTAAAACTAATTCTTTTGTGGAGAAGCAGTATAATAAGAATCCTGAATGATTGAAACATCAAGAGATCATTTATTTTTGGCAAGGATTTCCAGTTAGGGCTCTATTTGCTCCTAATTTTTCAAATTCAAGCAATGTACAGTATTTCATTTAATAGTGCTCTGTCTGGTTTATAATAAAATGCCTGATTTTATTAGATCAGTGATACTGGTGTTTTCTGGTGAATTCAGAATAAATCCCAGGAAACAAAGGAAGTTATTTTTGAATCAGTATGCATAAGAATAAGTATACAGAAGACTGCACTTTTTCAAATTGATTTTGTTTATTATTAAAACCATATTTTTTTTACCTAATTCACTTATAAGGCATGTAATTTTATGCCTAAATATAATTTTATATCTTGCTTTAGCATAGGTAGCTTTTGTTTCATTGCAAAAGGAAATGAAGAATTGCAGTTGATATGTAATTGCTATAATTAAAACAAAAAACAAAACAGTAGGAAGAGGAGCAGGACTAGGCTCTAATTCAAACAAGATGAAGTTAAAAATCTGTTTACTCAAGCATGTGTTAAGAACACATGATTGCTTTAGAAGGGAGAAGAGGATTAGTCAACTGATTCAGGAAGATCACGTTAAAAATTTACTCCAACAAACATGTGTTAAGGTCGTTGTGTGTTTGTTTTAGAAGGAATGGAAAAGTTCATGGTTTGAAAATTTTCACACGCTTCCTTATATTATTTGAAACTAGGGAGGCCTTTTTTTCCGTCCCGCTACCATTAGAGACCCCATTAACTGGAAGCAAGAGAGGGGTACTGGATCCCCCCAACAAACAAAAGTATTTTTATTCTGATATGCTTTTGACATTTCAGCTTACTTTGTTTCCATACTTGCTCTGGAATGACATAGTCAGAAAGGCTTGTGTTAGAGCAGATCTATACAACCCAAAGCCCCAGGGCCACTTCTGGTTTTCAGCAACCATGGATCTGGCTCTTGAAAAGAAATATGCCATACAATCTTAATATATCAGCTAGCAATTATATACATTGCACCACAGCCAATATAGGAATCCCCATTAACCAATTTTATTTCAATGGTTCTAAATACTTTTTCAGATTAGTTACAACTATGGTATGTATGTGACATAGTTTTGATTTATGAATTATAAATTAAGCCCAACTTTCACTAAAAAGCAAGTGTGAGTATTTAGAGAACAGCTCTAAATTAATTTGATTGAAACAAGCCCCGCCCCCCTATGGTCATCTCTCTCAGTTTCTACATAATTGCTCAAATAAATGTTCAGCTTTTCTTTTAATGCTCAGAATCAATGCTGAAAAACTTTATGAGTATTCTACCATATTCAAAACAATATACTTACAAAATGAAAAGCAGCTTTCCCAGAATGTCATATTATGCTGGTTATGATTCAATCACTATTGCAGATAGTGATTTCAACTCTGGAAGGTTGGTTTTTTTTTTTTTTTGCATTAGAATTGAAAACGTTGAAAGGCCGCCTAAACTTCTTATGGTGAAGAAGACCAACATATTCTGCAGTAGGGATGGACCATGGTGGATCATTTCTAAAGCCTGGTGGAACTGCAGCTCTTTATCAGCCTTAACATGACCAGTGCTGAAGAATAATGAGGCTCATTCCTGTTCAAGAGGAACTCAACCATTGTTTTTAATAAGTAATCTAAATTCCCAACTTTTGTGAAATGTTATGTTTTTGGTCTTCTGTTTGGGATATACTTTCTGACCTGAGAGCCACACAATTTAAAATGACTATTCACTGGATAATTAGAAGTGAATGTATTTTGTATTGTGTGTCCTTTTATGAAATTGTGCCCTAAATTAATTACTATCTGCAAAAGTCTCTAAATTTTTGGTGAAGACCTTATCAGGTCAAGGTCTGAAATAAATAATAATAACCCCTGGTTTAGTCCAAGCTCTAGATAAGCCTAGATTTGTCTGAAATGGTATAGGGTTTCCTGCCTGAGCAGGGGGCTGGACTAGAAGACCTCCAAGATTCCTTCCAAATGGATGATGATAATGATGTTACTGTTATTGTTAAGCAAAAGTGTTTTATTGAAAGCAGAATGCAAGCAGAAACTATTATAAATATAAACGATTATAAATCCAAGGTGCAATCAACAGAAACATCAACATGGTTTAAAGACTAAAACCTAGCAAACATACAATTAAACTATCACAAATATTCCACTGCCGTACTGTATTTGTGGTTTTAAATGTCCAGACAATTGGCAAGCTGAGCCTACTCTGCCCTTGGTTTCCACTGGTATGGATCCTGGGATCCTGAGTGAGGATGGTAGTGGTTGAGACTTTGGTTTAGGCATGAATGATCAGGATTAGAGTAGAAGATTTGCTTTCTCCAATCCTAGGGCATGGCTTTTGAGCATCATATTGAATTGATGTCTCCTCTTGTTCTTTTTCATCCAAACAGGATTCTTGTGGCAGATTTTCAAGCAGAGATTTCCTTGCATTACTTGAATTACTGAAAGTGCAATATTGGATTTTCATGCCCTGTTTTTTTTTCCATGGGTGGTTAGGTAGGGAAGGCTTATCAAGCAGGAATGCTTTCTATTAGTATCTCGGGTGGTAAGATGGTTGGCTGGATCCACACCATTTTTTACATACCAACAAGCTAAAATCTGACACTGAAAATAGATCTCAGGAACAGCTAAAAGCATAGCTTTAGCATAGGCTAAAATGGTGGTGAGTACACCCTTTAACCTACTAACAGAAGTTTAGTGTATTATGTTGGCACAACCATTTGCTGAATTAAAAGAAATGTTACTCCAAGTCATTGCTAACCCCCAAATTAAATCATCGCTATCATTATTTCATATGATTTATGAACTTAACTCGTAAGCTATATATGTAGCATATTTTTTGCCACAAACCACAGTTAACAGATCATGAATGTATTCACATGACATAGTAACAAAAGCAACTTTTGTTATGTGATGGGCTAATAATTCACACAATGTCTTGAAATATAGTATGTTTTTCTAGTTTTAGCTTCGTTATTTTTTGTAAGTCACGATGCACAGTTTAGCAAGTTATGGAAACAGAACCCTGGTCAGTCTAAAAACTATTGGCAATGTGTTGGATACATAACATTTCTGACAAAGCTCTTACGAAGAAGAAAAATTGTCTCTGTGCAAACACGGAAAGATATTGAGCGCTTTTTTAAAGGTGATGAGGGTTCTATTTTTTCCTTTCTTTTCCTTTCCTTTCCTACCAGGGCTTATCTCTTTAATTATAAGTAGACATCAACAAGAAATAAGATTTTTTTTCAACAACAGCTGGACTTGCACAACATGTTAGCCTGAATTGGCTCCTTTGTGGCTCAGTCTGTGACATGAAAGCAGCCACTGTAGATAGTTGCATGGTTCAGAGAGATTGAAAACCAAGAAAATTCAATTAATTGAGTACATCTTGCACTGGTGCTTTATCTCATTATCACCACTCAGCTGGGTTGCTGCAATGCAGTGTACTTATGTCTGTATTTTAAAATCATTTGGAAGAAGTAGTTGGTCCAGAATGCAGTGACCTGATTATGGCTGGAACTTTCAATGGGGACATAACGCAGACCGTCTGGACTCTGTGCCAGCTGCTGTCAACCCGGTAGAGCAGACCAGGAAATCAACACTACAAGGAAACCAGAAGTACACTTTATTGAGATTAGCTACAATAACATAATCTTGCAAATCTGATTGTGGTTATATCCCTTCTCTTATATCCCTATACATCTGGGAGGTATCTGCCTGAGCTGTTTCTGAAATGATTCTGTTTTCCAGGGCTTAAAAAATGCTCCAGCCTCTTTGACTATGTAATGGTCTTGCATATTTCTGTCAAGACCATCTTCCTTAGTCTCTTCAGTTTCCAATTGGAATTTCCTATTGGCTTCTGGAGGCAGTTCAAAAAAAAGTTTATTCCATAATCTATCTTATAGGAAATGGAGTACAGTTAAAAAACACTTTCTGACTATATTTCTCAGTGATGCTTGTTATAGAAATGATAATGGTAATAATAGCAGCAGTGACTGGAATCTAATGAATTGCTCTATGCAACCTGACTTTTAGGATTTTATTTACTAGATGTCTTTTAATTTCAGCCTTCTAATAAGAAACTGTTTTAGAACAGGGCTTTTTAACCCATGGTACGGGTACCACCTGTGGTACATTGGCACCTGGCAGGTGGTACGCGACCATCCTAGAAAAGTGGTAGTGGGGGAGGGGAATGAGAGCACCACCGGGCGGGCAGGCAGGTGTCTTGCTTGGCTGTGCCTCGGGAGGCACTTTTTTCAGTGGCATTGTATCTTCGAACAGTCACTAAACGAACTGTTATAAGTTGAGGACTACCTGTACTTTATCACTTTTTTCCTTTTGGGGGGGTCATCAAGTTTTTGACACCTTGCTAGGCGACTGGTGGTACTTGGATACAATGGGTGAAAAGGTTGAAAAGCCCTGTTCTAGAAGTTCCCAGGATTTCAAAAGAGGTTTGTTGTTAAGTACAGCATATGAAACTGCTTTTTGAGAAATATAAGCCCAAAAACCAATGTGGCAATTCAGATACAGGTGACCCTCACTTAATGACTACTTTTCAGTGACCATTCAAAGTGAATAAGTGGTATTTAAGATGGGTCCTTGAAATTCCACCTGTTGCAGCATGACCATGGTCATATGATCATGATCCAGGTGTTAAGGAACTCACCTTGATTTTTGACTGTTGTAGCATCCTGTGATCATGAGATCATGTTTTGCAACCTTCCCCGCTGGCTTCCCACAAGCAAAATCAATCCAGAGATTGGCTAGAAGTTGGAAATAATGTTCACATGAGATCCTCACTTAATGTCCTGCACTGTGATGGCCATCTCAGAGTCAGAAAATGAAGATCGTCAGCCTAAAGCAGGGGTCTTCAAACTTGGCCCTTTTATGACTTGTGGATGCCAACTCCCAGAATTCCTCAGCCAGCATGCCAAGTTTGAAGACCTCTGGCCTAAAGGGATTCAGCTGGAAGAATTGCAGGCAGAAAAAGCAGAACTGCCTAACAACCAGGAGGAGCAGCTATTGCTGGCCTCAGAAGACAAAGAGGCTAATACCTTCCCCCAAAGCGAGGGCCCACCACAAGGAGAGGAGAGCGGAAACAAAAGCACTCAGCAAGACTATTGGTCAGAAAGTACCTTGTCCTGTCAAAGGAACAAATTTGAATCATACCATGCTTGTAAAAGGGGAACTGCACACTTTACAAATCCATTGGCAACAATTCTCCATTTATCTCGCCATCATATTGCTCAACTCCTTAGCTGCCTTCTAGTTTGTTCAAACCTTTTACCATTGAATTCTGTTTGAAAACCTTTTAGTAAAGATATAAGATTTACCTATGTGTCTGTGATTTCCATGGGCTAGGACAAGACATGCATGGTCCTTGCTTTAATGATGGTAATTATAGGAGATGACCAGGTGGAGTCCAAGGCATCAACAGTTTGGAATCCTTCTGTAGTCACAAGAGACCTAAGTCCAGCCCCCTGTGAATTCCATTGACTCTTATCTAGTGCCAGTTTGGCTTGATCATTAGTAGATTGGATTCTGTGTATAGGTAGTATGTAATAAATGTAATAATGTAATAAACCTTTAGTGCCTTACCTCCTATTCCTGGTTACTTGAGCCTGACAATAATCAAGACTGCTAAGTGAAATGGTCAAATGATGTCATACTTTAAAGCTGCATTGCTTAGGGCATGGGTGTCAAACTTGCCATGTCACTGACGTGTCGCAACGTATTGCGACTCTTTTTGCATTGCCAGCAATGGAGTGGTTGTGGCTTTGGTATGAGAAACCAACCCGTCGGCCAGCAGTTTGACACCTCTGGCTTAGGGACAGAAATTCTGTTCCCAATTACCACTGCAAAACAGGGGCTACCTGTATACTACTACTTGGTTCCTGGAGTTATTATTATTACTTCTGTCACTGAGAATTGGATGAGAAGAAGAAGGAGAAGGAAGAAGGAGGAGAGAAGGAGGAGAAGGAGAAGAAGAAGAAGAAGAAGAAGAAGAAGAAGAAGAAGAAGAAGAAGAAGAAGAAGAAGAAGAAGAAGAAGAAGAAGAAGAAGAAGAAGAAGAAGATTATTTACTTAGTGGTTTAAGTAGTAAGATATTTTTAAAAAAACAAGCAGCACTATTGGTACATAAAAGGGGACAATTCATAGTTCCAAAATACGTTTAATCGGAGGAAACAAAAGAATAAAATGCAAACTTATAGGTTCTCTCTCCAGAAGGTAAGATGGAACAAAAACTAAGAAATGGGGAAGAACCAAAAAAGTCCTAAAATGGCCTTAAGTTTGCATTTGTATTGAGATTTTTTTTTGTCTATTTACTTACTTATTTTCTATAGCTGCCCATCTCACAAGTGACTCTGGGCAGCATATATCATAAAACCATTAAAACAAAACAATACAAAATAAATATGTACACTTGCTAAGTAAAACTATTGCCATGGATCTTATTTCAGCCAAGAAACAGGATCCTTAATACATTCTGGACCCCAGGCCCAGGTACACAACCAGGTCTTCACGACTTTATTAAACTGGGCCAGGGTCTCCTAATCTCTGAAAGGAAAATGTTCCAGAGAATAGAGGTTATGGCACAGAAGGCACTTTACTAATCCTACTAATATCCTGGGACAAAGAAATAATATCTGAACCTTCTCATCATGGAGAGCATTCAGCTAAGGCTACAGCTGTCAAAATATTAAGTATGCTTTAGGTAACAATGAAAGCCATGTAGAAGGGGGCTTCATTTCCAGGAGAATCATAGGAGTAGTATGTGCAGGGTGGGAGGGCTGTTGCTGCTGTGCTTGCATAGATACCACTAAATCAAAACGGTCGCCACAGAACAACCCCTCACATTGCTAGTTCCAACCACATTAGTCTCCTTTGCATATAGCATCAGCAGCTGCTTAACAGAATTTTGCAAGAATGCACAGCTCCTGTTTAAGCACCATCAGAAAGGTCAGATTGACCAAAGTGCTGAGCATGCAACCACTTCTTTAATGCCAGCTATCCATTTGCAATGCCACTTCTCACATCCCCCCCCCGCAAACATCACATATAGCACTTTGTACAATAAGAGTCAACAGGCATCTCTACAACACTGCAGTGCTCATCCTAACATCTGCCTAGAACCATAACATGCCTTTTGCAAAGATTCTTGTTTGCTTATCTGCTCTAATCCTCTACCAACAAAGCCACTTATTTTCATTTTGTATATTTGCCTTTTATCACCTGTTTTTTGCCATCTGATTCCAGAAGTCTGTCACCAGCTGAGGGAGCGGCCATATTTTTGTGCTGGTGCACATGCCTTCTGTAGATAAGGTCCCAGATTCAATCCTTGGCATTTCTCTGGTTTCAGGTTCAAGCTTTGAAAGAGAGGGCACTCCCAGCTGCCTGGAAGAAGGCAGCTGTGAGACTGAATTTGAATAAATCCTCCACTGACTAAATTATTTGCCCAACAATCTGTTAGTTGCTAAGCTGCCTTTCCCTCAAGATACTCAAGTAACATGCAAATCAGTTCTATTTAGTCTTGGATAACATGAGTAATTCCGATCTACAGCAAGCAACCTGCTTTCGTGCAGATGTTTCCATCTATAAGTGCCATAAGTCATCATCACTGCCTATATTGGCTAGTACGTAGGAGGGCTCTCCAAAACATCTGGATAGTCTGACTCTTGACCCATTTCATGCTGCCATTTCAGTTTCAGGCTTAGATTATCTAAGTAGCACTGGTTGCTACTGTAGAATGAAGCTGAATTGTACTTATTTTCCTCACTTTCCAGTGACTTTTAATTCCATTGGCATTATTATTCTAGTGGACCATTTATTTGGGTCAAAATATGGATAGAAATCTCCTTTCTGACCTGGTGCTTTTATGATATTTCTCCAAGACTCCAAAATATAAAGGAAAGGCTTTATATCACTTTTCTTCAACCTCAAGATCTACTAGACCATCATTCCCATTACCTGAGGTTAGGAAAATGGGAATTATAGTCAGGCACATCTGACAAATGCTAAAATGTGGAAGTCTGTCTTATACAGTTCTGATGAAAATGACTCCTTACCACAAAAAACCTTGAGATTTATATTTACAGTACTATAAAACACTGAAATCATAGCCACTGTCCTTCATCAACTCTGTAATTTTCCTCCCAGGCAGTCCTGTCAAATTTAAGATTGCCTGTAGTACTATTCTTAACTGCACTTAGTCCTGCAGTGACCCACATCCAGTACATGTCCTAGAGTAAGTAGTAGATTCAGTGGGAAGCCAACACTGTTGGTTTCCAAAAAAAAGGGGGGGGACTAAAATTAAAAATAAAAATGAAATGTAGAAAATTACAGGACTGAATTTGGTTCTACCAGAGTTTGTGAACAGGTAAGTATACTAAAAAAGCTCAGCCCCTGTAAAAAGTAAGATATGCCTCTTAGGAAAGTAGGTCTGTATAATCTACCAATCCATGGGCAATATTTCAACTGAGGGGTCTCGTAAAGCTTTCAGGTTGTGATGGTTTTGCACAAAAAAATTGTCAAGCATCTGGTCCTTCAGGTTCAAATCTCAGACCACTCATAGTCACACTCTTTGTCTTGCAGTCTTAACATTAATAGTGTACATGCTAGCTTATCTTTAAAATTTCTGGCAAGAATTATTTTGATTATAAAATTTAAAATATTATTTCCAAGTATTAAAAGTGGTGCTTCATAGACATGAAGCAGTATTATGAGATGGTTCAGCTGTCTAATTTAATCTACAACAATTTCTTCTACCAGAGTAACTTTCCATGACAATCACCAGAAAACTAAGCTCTAATTCAGAAGGTTAGTTATTATCCTAATTGCTGTGGTAACATTACTCCTCCACTGCTTTTTGCCTTGGGCCATTTAGTGGGTGGCCTTCTGAACATGTGGGTCAAGTCCAGCATCTGACCACCAGTTAGCAATTAGAACAAAATCCACATCAAATCTGCAAAAGATCCAGTAGTAGTTTCTGTCCTGCTTTATTCTTCCTATGTGTATATTCTGTCCCTTGGAGGAAGGGTAGATGGGATTTTATATATATATACACGACTTGCCTCCAGAGGTTGTGGATATTCCAACACCGGAAGTTAAGAAGAGATTGATATAGAGTTTCCTGTCTGAGCAGGGGGTTGATCTAGAAGACCTCCAAGGTCCTTCCAACTGTTATTCTGTTATATTCCATCCATTCCAAATATCCTTAATTCCCTTCACTTTCCATTTTTAAGTAGTTTTTTTACCCCTCCCTTTGTCAGAAACCCTACAGAACAAACAGAGGAAGGAAACCCTACCTGCTTCCTTCTACATTTCTTTGTTTGGGATAGACGGGCAACCCAGGCCCACTCACAGCATCCCAAGATGGTGCCATAGAAATTCAGTGACAATTTTCAACAGGGTTCTTTTTTTTTTTTCAAAAAAGAAAAGAAAAAGAGGGTGGGTGGGTGGGTAATAATAGGAGAAAGAAGGCCTCTGCCCACTCTGAATCCCATTTTCCTTATTTTCTCAGTAGCCTGACATCACATTGTCAGAATTTGGCCAGATTGTCACCAAATTTCAATAATGTAGTGCAATTTCAGGCTATTTAGGAGGCATGCATTAGCAAAGCTTCATGGCCAGATGAAGATTTTTCAGACCAGACTAGGGTTTCTAAGGGCTGAATTTATATATTTCATGTGGCTTCCTTGTGTGAGTGTCCTTCCTTGCATGTGTTAACCTTATCATTGTGATTTATAGAATGTAACATGGTTAAACAAGCCAGCTGTTAAGTGAGTTGCACCTGATTTTATGACCTTTATTTTGCCATAATAGTTAATTGAATCACTGCTGTTGTTAAGCAAATCATGTGGTTAAGCGAATCTAGTTTTCCCCATTGACTTTGCTAGGAAGGACACAATAGTGGCCACATGACCCTGGGATACTAGAACCAATCTAAACACCTGAATTTTGATCATGTGACCATTGGGAGGCGGTGAGGACTGGTTCCAACTCATTTGTATGGTCACTAGATTGTCCATGTGGAATTCTAGTGGGATAGTCAAGACAGGTCCATTTGTAACAATAGAGCTAATTATCTAAGGGTTTACAGAGATTGTCAATCATCCAGATCAAGGCTGTCTCAAAAGTGCTTTTTCCAAAAGGCAAGTAGACTTTATTTTTTCTTTGAAAAGTTTCGCTTCTCATCCAAGAATTTTTTTCTGTTCTGAAGAAGCTTCTTGGATGAGAAGCAAAACATTTTCAATGAAAAAAAAACCAAGAAAGTCCACTTGCCTTTTGGAAAAAAGCACCTTTGGGACAATTGTCTAGGACAGTGGTTCTCAACCTGTGGGTTGGGACCCCATTTGGGGTCAAACGACCATTTCACAGGGGTCGCCAAAAAACGCAGTCCGCCATTTTCCCCCCTTTTCCTTAGCTGTGCTACTCCCTTTTATTCTATTGGCTTTTGAAAGCCAATAGAATAGACTTTCTTGAATAAAGTCTAATTCTATTGGCTTTCAAAAGCCAATAGGAATTGTCCAGGCTGTCTCTGCCCACCAAAAGTCCCATTCTGCAAACGGTGCTGCACCAGTTGAATAGTCCTCGACTTACGACTGGCTGAGTAGTTCTCGACTTACGACCGGTTGTGGGTCGCGGCATTAAAAAGGTTGAGAACCATTGGTCTAGGAGCTAATTTACCTCACAGTTCTTTCCTCTGTAAACATGTAAAACTCTGACACTTTTGCTTTATTTCTCATCCTTAGCTAGGTAAATTAAAAAGATAATACCCTTCAAGGCAGAAATCATTTTAATGGTGCAGCATTATGGTTACCCAATAACAAAATATTTATATAGAAGAATCCTAAGCTTCACTGGGGTGGCATTTAGTTTGATATATTAAAATGTTTGATACATTTACATAACTCCATTTCCTCTTGCAATAAGAAAATACTAATTAAAAAGCAGACACAAAGACCTCCACTGCCTTTGACAATGATGGTAATAAATTAACTATTGTGCTAAATGAATTACTTCAATTAAAGAGCAGCTGCTGGAGGGGTTATTTTGTAAGTCCACTGTTTTCATATTCCTCTGATAAAAATGTAGCCCAAGAAAATACACTTAAGGACCATATTGAAGGCAGCTGCAAGCTATGCAGAGCCCTCTAAGGGAGGGTCTGCATTTCTCTCTGAAGTTTGTCAGCTTTCTTTCATCCATTTCTTTGAACTCTACTCATATTAGTGACTTGCAGTTATTATTCTTCATTTTCACAAGGTCAAAAAAGATCCAGGGTACATGCAGGCTGCTAAGCATTTGTTTATATCTTCTATTTTCACTGTTGGCTCAGTACTGAAGTGGAAAGAGTGGGAATAGCAATAGCACTTAGACATATGCTGCTTCATAGGGCTTTACAACCCTTTCTAAGTGGCTTAGAGAGTCAGCATATTGCCCCCAATATTCTTGGTCCTCATTTTATCGACTTCGGAAGGGTCCTTATTTTACCGACCTCGGAAGGATGAGTCAACCTTGAGCTAGTGAGGATCGAACTCCTGGCAGTCTGCAGTGAGTTAGCCTGCAATACTGTGTTCTAACCACTGTGCCACCACAGCTCACAGAAACAGGGAAGACAGTTTGAGAAAGTTTTACTAAAAAATCTTGTGTCGCTTCCTCCCCCCCCTTAAAAAAAAAAGGATTTCTGGCTTGTCTCCCTCCCGGAATCACTATGGCCCCAGTTTGGATGTTTGTATACCTGGTCTCCCAGGCACACCTGAGACATAACCAAAGAATACCATTTGTTCCACATTCATCTAAATATAAAGATTAGAACTATTCCAAATGTTTTCCATAATCTAGACCAGGGGTTCTCAACCTTGGCAACTTTAAGACTTGTGGACTTCAACTCCCAGAATTCCTCAGCCAGCTTTGCTGGCTGAGGAATTCTGGGAATTGAAGTCCACAAGTCTTAAAGTTGCCAAGGTTGAGAACCCCTGATCTAGACTGTACAACTGAAAGGGTAATTCTGCACATTCTTTTGTCCAGATCACATTGGCTTGCAACAAGACTGCCCTGCTGCTTGATTCATTGTTCTCCTGTTTCTTACCCTTCCCATCCATGGAGAGAAGGCAAGACTTGCTGTCTGACTTCTGGGTGGACCAGTCTATCCAGTGTCTACCTTTTGCTTGTGGGAATTGTTTCCTCCTCACTAGTCCCAGTGCCTTTCCTTTGCTTTCCCAGATATTTGTACACATGGATAACTTTGCACCCCTTTGCCACATTACTTCCTTTGACCCTAGTGTGGACCTTTCCTATTCCTCCCCCCCACACACACACAATACTATCATTAATCAAAACCAGCAGAGGAGG